GAAAAGAAGAATAGATTTCCAGTGACAAAAAATATATATTTCAGGTATTAAAAAATAAAACTTTAAATTCTCTCTCAAATATCAACTAGTTCATAAGTTATATATTGAAATGAGCTTTTTTGTCGGATCTATTATTTATAAGAGGATATATTTATTTTCTTTAACCTGTCAACCAGATGGTAAACAACTAGTCTGTATGTTACCCTCCTGACTAAATTATAGATTCATCAATTTTAATCTAGAATTATTTTCTTCTTTAATACATCTAATAACTCATGAAACAACAGGAGTAAAAATTGATGTTGGCAAATATATTGACCAAAATTTAGAATTTAAGTTGACTTAAGTTTTAAAGTCATCTTAAACTGGCTTACACCTATAATACATAATCCAACAATTTCAACTTCAATTCATGTTACTAGTATAACAATTACTTGAGTAATAAAGGATGTAAATTAACCATATTTCCTAAAATATGATTACTAAAAGAACATAGAACATCAATGTGGATCTTTGTTTCTAAAGAGTGTTGTCAACTAAATAGTGAAAAAAAAACAAAAACAAAAACACTACTTTTAAATTCTTAGAATCCTTGAGAGGTACTACTGGGGATACGGTGGGGGGGTGGGTTGGGTTCACAGATAACTGAGGAAAGACAGGGGTCCCTAAACTGACAGGGAATTCTTAAATGAAGCCTCACCTGCAGATTGGAGATCCCTAATAACAACTAGAAACTTATAAGAACAAGTGATACCCTTAATGGTCTCAATAGTTATCTATGCAAAAAGCATCCAAGTTCTCTAATTAGCTGCACTGACCTTAAAAACAGTAAAAACAACCGAATGGATCACAGTAAAAATCTAAATAAATCCAGTCCTATTCCTTTCATTACCATTGCTCATTACAATAACGACTTTAAACTATTAGCTGTGAAGTTATAGGGTTTTCCCTCAGTAAAACAGAAATAAAGAATTGTTTTGTTCTTCATTTTGTCTTTGACAGAAATTAAAACCTTATACTATGAGAATTACAGAATACTGTAACCAACTATAATGTAGAACAAAAGTCCATTCTTCAAATAGAATTATTTATTATATTTATCGTGATGTGTAAAGAGTACGATATAACAAGACAATGTATCTAAAACCTTTTAAGTACTAAGTGTTCAAATACTTTTTATTATGGAATGAAATCTAATGTTAATTTATAAGGTACTAAAAAAGAAAGAATTTTAAGTGTTTAATGTTGCTTTTTTATATTTTAATTGGTTAAAGATGTTTATTTGTTTAATACAAATAATCGGAATGACCTATATTAAAATGAATGTTCTTGAACTCAGTGAAGTTGTTCTATAATATGCTCAATGATTGATACTGACTATAAAGCACCCTAATTATTAACAAATTTGATTTTGTAGAGATTTCTGTTGTTGTTCATTTTCCCACAAAAAAAAAAATACAAGATTTTTTATTTTCTACTTCCTAGTACAGACACAAGAGGGCAGACTTATATAAAATAATAAATTTGCTACTACCTACAGATGACTTATCCTTTGAATATTTTCAAGTCTTCTGGCAAAGTGGAAATATGCTAAATGTTCTAAAAGACCTGCTTTTCTGTTAAGCAAAAGCACACTTTTTAATGTTTAAAAATTATAAGCTAATATTAAATACAAAAATTGGAGAATAAAAAAGTCAAATATATTACCAATTTTTTATTAAAATATAAATGCAAAATCAATAATATTCTTTACAGCAATCTAAAGAATGTGTCATAATGTTGAATCCTATCTATACAAACTATCATCGTGTCCATATCTTTCAATGTTCAGTTTTGATGATCTCAAACAGTAAAAAAATAAAATAAAAAAATAAAGACCAATGGTGCAAAAATATGAAAAAATAAAAATAAGATTACTATTTCCTTTCAGAGGACACAGTAGAATACATAAAACATTCAAGTTAGAAATAAAACTTTTTCATTATCATTTAATGCTAGACAAAAACTAAGTCATTTAACTTTTAAGTCATTTTATCAAAGTTTTGATTTATATAAGAGAAACTCTCCAATAAAATATGCTGAATTATTAGGTGCTAATACCTTAGCTGATCAAGTCATTTATGATTTAAATAGGCACAAAATTTTATCTTCCTCTTTTTAACGACTGCAACCCAGAGTTTCCTACATCCTAGAAAGTGTAAGAGAAGAAAGAATAAATAACTGACAATAAAGGGATTACTACTTCACTATTGTCTCTGAGATCCATCGTGGACTTAAAGGAACCTAACGGATACTAGCTGTTAGGTGTGAAAATGGACATCATCCACCTCTTCTACCCACCAGGGAAAAAAAACGCAAGGGAGAATGGAAGGGGAAACACTTTTCCAAAAGAAACAAGACTGTTCTCTTTTGGTGTAGTCCTTACTGTCAGACAGCTTGAGGGATTGGGGGTTGGGAGGAGCAGAGGTGTGATGGAGTACAGAGGAAACCACCAAAGACTAGTGGTGGGTGTTGCACCTGTTGTCTTGTATCCTAGTCCTCCTAGGAGAATAGATGGTATCTCTCATAATTCACAAAGGAAAATGCTTCAGAGTAGTACACAACCCATACTCTAGATGATACAGGAGAATACCATGGAACCATGGAATAGCAGGCATGTAAGAATGTGTGGTTGGCTCAATAGTAATTCTGCATTGAATCCTAAAAGCAAAACTTCCATCTCACAAATTAAGTTTTTCAGGGGGTTTGGAGAGGGACATTGGGAGGATCAAAAGATAAAATACTCTGAGAGTTACAAAGTTCTATAAAGTTCTATGTAATTCTATGGTTTTATTAGATCATAACTTAAGACATTTTTTTTACATGGTGAGAGTTTACCAGTCATGCTTGAAGATGACAATTTATCAGAAGGGCTATTCTCTATTAAGATTCTTCTCTTTATGTAAAAATTAAATAAGAGAAATTCAACATTTCAGGGACCTTTTCTTGAGAGAGATTTTAGCTATAGAGTATGTGCACTTGTTGGAGACAGAAAACAAAAAAATCACCCCTACCCCCACCCCCCCGGGAATGACCATGCTGCAATCCCTTCTCCTCCATTCTCCTCCCGGGATCCTGGGCATGCACACAAACACATGCCTGGCATGAGTTTTAAGCTGCCAGATCTGGGACTCGAACCACGGTGGACTACGTGGTTGTCCAGCAAAGTAACCACTATGCCATCTGCTGGTTCCACATTTCAGAGACTTTTAAAAAACAACTATAACCAGGGCTTTTAAAGCATAGTACTTGGAGGCTCCAAGGAGAGGGTATTTAAATATTTTTCTATAGTACTTCAAGGAACAAATTGGAAGGAAAGTCATCATTTAAAGATTGCAGCTGAAGAGTTTTTTTCCTGGCTTCATGTTTCGACTCTAAAATTTAAAGCACTATAGAAAGCATCCTTAATAAGGTTAATCAAGAAGCAGAGCTTTCTAGAGGACAATACAAATTGTGTTCATTAGTAGCTTGTTCCCTCTACCGTGCACTAGGAAGAAGATTCAAAAACAAGTGTCTCCACAATGTACCTCCAATCTCCCTATCTTTATTGCTTTGAGATCAGAGGAAACCTTTAAAGCAGAGGTTTGTCCATGCAAAAAGAATGGAGGAGTGAATTAGTACCTATTCTTTTAAATTCACCAAATTTTCTCAGTTACCTATCATACCTACTTAAGCTTGGATTAGTATATCCTGGACACTCCATTATCTGTATAAAAACTCTAGCTTGAGGAACAACTGTCTGATTATGGGCCTGTTCTGTAATCATAAAGCACTTCAAAACTAAAATGTGAGAGTACTTGAAAAATGAGTTTTCTTATCTTTCAATCACTTGACTGGATAAATCACTAATAAATCTGGTTAAATTGATCTTTTTCCATTGTAGTTCAAACATGATAGTAACATTTCTGTTTGCTTGAATGGTTTAAATATACATAATCAAGATGATAAGAACTGTGTTCAAAGTAGCACAAAAGAATGCACACAGAATGTATGAGGGCTCTCCTACAAATATAGCATATTAAGGCAATGCATGCTGGGTCTGTACTCAGCTTTGTGAGGTCCCTGGAGAAGTGCTATCCTTAGCCTTTCATAGGCTATATTTCTTTTGTATTCATAATTTATTTACTGGTAGTAGAAATGAATAGTTTTACTCTAGATGAACTTTGTAATTTTTGATGGAATTAAATTGTGTCAGGAAATTCTGACTGGGCCAGTAGGTAGCATAGTGGTTAAGGTACTGGCTCCCACATAGCCAACTGTGCAGTTCAAGTCCCAGAATCAGAGGCTTGAAAAATATGCCAGATGCATTTGCATGAGTACTCAAAATTCCAAGAGGAGAATGGAGGAGAGAGGATTATGGGGTGGCCAGTCTCCCAGAGGGGAGTGATTTCCCCCTTTCCCTCTATCTCTGCCTCTGTCTGGTAAGAAAAGAAAAATCAGTAGGAAAAAATAAAAGAAAGAAAGAAAGAAAACTCAATACAAAATGGATGACAGAATCCGTGTCTGAAAACTGTTTTCCAATTAGTTCCATCATCTCATTTTAAAGATATAGAAACTCAGTCTCAGGGAAATTAAGAACCATCCAGATTCCAACTCAATAGAAACAGAAACGAAAACCAAAAACTTACATTCTCAAGTTAATGTTCTATTATACCTTGCCAGATTTTTTTGTTTGTTTCAAATTTCTTTAGACTGAATGTTTTGCGTTGTTTATGATTATTTAACAAATGAAAGAATAAAAATCAACTTAGGTACACTTCTTTGAAGTTTTTCGTGTTAATTAGCCTGACATGATTTGTAAGTTCTGTTTATCAATGCAATACTCTTCAAGTTCATACCACTTATGCTTACTAACTTGCAGGAAAATGGAAATGAAAAGCAAGACAAAGCCTGTGACTATGGAGACTGTCATATGCTTACTGCATATTGTACTCACAGCATCCACTGGGGGGAGGCAAACACTACATTTTGAGCCTTACCTCTCCCACATAGCCAACTGTGCAGTTCAAGTCCCAGAATCAGAGGCTTGAAAAATATGCCAGATGCATTTGCATGAGTACTCAAAATTCCAAGAGGAGAATGGAGGAGAGAGGATTATGGGGTGGCCAGTCTCCCAGAGGGGAGTGATTTCCCCCTTTCCCTCTATCTCTGCCTCTGTCTGGTAAGAAAAGAAAAATCAGTAGGAAAAAATAAAAGAAAGAAAGAAAGAAAACTCAATACAAAATGGATGACAGAATCCGTGTCTGAAAACTGTTTTCCAATTAGTTCCATCATCTCATTTTAAAGATATAGAAACTCAGTCTCAGGGAAATTAAGAACCATCCAGATTCCAACTCAATAGAAACAGAAACGAAAACCAAAAACTTACATTCTCAAGTTAATGTTCTATTATACCTTGCCAGATTTTTTTGTTTGTTTCAAATTTCTTTAGACTGAATGTTTTGCGTTGTTTATGATTATTTAACAAATGAAAGAATAAAAATCAACTTAGGTACACTTCTTTGAAGTTTTTCGTGTTAATTAGCCTGACATGATTTGTAAGTTCTGTTTATCAATGCAATACTCTTCAAGTTCATACCACTTATGCTTACTAACTTGCAGGAAAATGGAAATGAAAAGCAAGACAAAGCCTGTGACTATGGAGACTGTCATATGCTTACTGCATATTGTACTCACAGCATCCACTGGGGGGAGGCAAACACTACATTTTGAGCCTTACCTGCATTGGTGTTTCACTTCCTTGCCGAAACTCTTCCATTTGTTGCTGCTGCCAAGGAGCTAAGCTGTAAGAGTCCTCTGTAGTTCTACCTTCCAAAGGGTTTGTCCGCAGCTGCTCTGTAAGCCACATCTGAGTCCTCACAGAAGGCTGAATGGGAATTCCACCTACTGCCTGCTGACCAAGCATTAAATACTTTGGAGGTTCAAAAGCCTCTGAGCCTGTCATAATGGACTTGCTCTCGGGTAAGGCACTGTATGTCATGTCTAAGGTCTGTCTCCTGAGAGCAGAGGAAGAGGCTCTAAAATCCTCTTTGCTACAGCTCTCAAATTTATACTTGCAGTCCAGAGTTGATGATCGTTTTTTATTTATTTCTTTGTCTTCTAGCTTAAGCATTTCCATACTATCATGTAAGCAGGTGGGCCCAATTGTCCTCAGCTGTGATGTTAAAGCCTTGCCCCTTCCTGTCTTTTCCAGATCATTCCTGGACTCTTCAGGGTGTACAGTACCATCTTGGACGCAGTTATCTGGGGTAGTGAGTTTGGATAAAGATGACCATTTCCGAAGGGGCCGGACATCCTTCATATCTAGTGAAGAATCCTGCTCCCCCCTACCATGGTGTCCCAATGTTCGCATGAGGCCTGTACTCCACTTTGAGCCATCGGGTGTCAATGATTCCCTATGTTTGGAAATTGAAGCACTAGAGTTAGACGGCATCACATGTGCAGTAGGAAGAGTAACCAATGACCGGCTAGGCTTAAAAGATAATGTGCCACTTGAAGTTGAATGATCTGGAAAGAAAAAAAAGATCACCAAATTAGTTACTATTAACATGAAAAGAATGAGGTAAAATTCAAAATGCCAAAAGAGAAATTTGAACATCAGTTCTCATCATGAATTTTTCAGACATGGTTCTTTAAAATGAGGAAACTACTATTAGTTAGTCCTTTAAGTTTATGTGAAACAAGGGAAACATACTTTTAAACATTATTTTCTAAATATGGATACATAATAAAGTCTATGCCCTTTTATTATCTACTTAACAGATAAAAAATGATTTGAAAAAAGGTTTACCTTTACCCTACTTAATGAAAATATTGTGACTTAAAAAAAATATATATCCTAGGCTGATTCCATGGCCTGGTGGTTAAGGGAGCGGATTCCACCTGGCTAATTTTGTGGTTTGAATCCCAGCCCAGGTGGCTTAAAAAGTATGCCAGGTGTGTGTGCATGAGTGCCCACAAATCCAATAGGATGGAGAAATGGAAGAGAAGTAATTGTAGTGTGACCACACCCCATGTAGGGGTTGGGGCTGCTTTCTCTCCCTCCCTTCTCTCTGTCTCTCTCTGGCAACTGCATGTGCCCTCTGGCAAATCAATGAAAGGAAGGAATCTTTGATATTTCAATAATAAATGAGGAAATTTCTTTCTTTATTGAAAGAGACCCAGCATTTAATTCAACATTTAAGTCTGATATAACTACTCCCAAAAAAGAAATTATTAGTGTCTTTCCTGAACTGTGGAAATCTATGCCAAAGCTAACCACTTCAGTACCTCACCAAACTGTAACTCAAATCCAAAATGTGGGTAAAGGCATTCC